CATTTTGCCATTTTAGTATCTAGCAAATTAATTCATCATTTATTCCAAGCTATGCTTTAAAAAATAACTAAAATAATAATACAAAAAATAATGAAAAAGGTTTGGAGGATTAGTAGAATGATATGGTAGTCAAATATGTCGTTACTAGTATATCGTCTTCCGTTTCCTTACCGCATATCCAATTAAACTGGATCATATTTCAAGAATGCAAAAAAAATTTGTAGACATTTTAACTTAATTAAACACAATTGGGAACTTAGTAGTTTTTATTCTCTGTCGAGAACATCAAAGAGAATGATAATCCTTCTGAATAAATCAGAAAATGAAAGTAAACACGAGACGATTAGCACTGTAGGCATGCGCGGTGTAGGCCTTGTCTCTGCCTTTAGTCCACAGCATCCTAGGTGCATTTTCTCAGCTGAACAATCAACAAGTAAAAAATAGAGTTAAAGAGTAATGCTTCTAAGAACAAAATGGAATGTGCTGTCTTCATCCCAGTTAGTTACACAGTAGGGCGTACTTGATTATTTTAGTGTCCATCACTTGATGTTTTGTAGCAAGAGTATCTAACCCTGTGTTAGAGGATGTATGGGCCATGTTCTTATATCTTCTGTAATGTTAAGCTACCCTAATTATGTGAAACTGTTCTTTAAATGGTAAGATAGCTGTGTGATAAGGGAGATTGGAAGGAAGTAGATGATACAGAAGTAATTCCCTGAGTGGAACCAAGATGATTATGTATTTTCAACCTCATTATGAGTTCTTGAAGTTTTTGAAAGTAACACAATTTGAATTAGGTAATATAAGCAACTGGAAGTCATTGAATCATTTAGGCAAGTGCAGGGGACTTTGAAAATTCCAGAAAAGATATGGTCTGGTGGGTTTGTTGCAGTGGTTAGGACACCTACTGAGAGGCCTACCTCCCGTAATGCAGCCAGCCTGGATTCCTGGCTCTGGCTGCAGACTCCAGCCTGCTGCCATGCAGATCCCAGGAGGTGCCATCTGGGCTCTTGTGGACTGTCTTTTCAGCTCTCAGCTTTTGCCTTAGCCTGTAGGGAGCAAGCCAGTAGGTGAGAGCTGGTCCTCTCTTCCCCACTCAAGGAAAACTTCAAATACATTTTATATCATTTAAAGAATCTGGTATATCTTGTTAGATCCAGACATGTTTTTAATGACTTTTCTTGATAGGCTGAGGATTAACATGAGCTCTTTAAAATTATAAAGAGCAAATTTTGATCTAGTCATATCTTGGTATTGCATCTTACACCTTTTAAAGTTATTCTAAAATTTTATAGAAAGTAAAGTAGTAAGTAAATGTAGAAAGTAAAGTAGTAAGTAAATGTAAGTAGTCTTTGAAGAAGATATTGAGCACTTTCAAATAGAGTGATGCAAAATCTCTAATTGCAGCATTTTATAAATTATTCCAGTTTTTAAATACGTTGTTCAAAAATCCCTTAAGAAACCTAATCTTAAGTGTATGTTGACCCTGAGGTATTTGTAATTGAATGCACTCCAGTGTCAGCCTGGCAACATTCTTCAGAAATATGTCGGTAAAAGCAGGCAGGAGAACTGTGCTTGAATGTCTCGAAAATGATGTGCTAGTCTTTATTTATTTATGTATTTTTTGCAAAAATATTAGGCTCATGCAGAATAATTTGAAATGACATTTTTAACCTTCAGAAATCTGTATATCAGGTACTTTTAAAGTTTGAGGTATGCTATATCCAGATATCATGTCTCCTTTCCTTGCTTAGTTTTCAAACTTGTGAGAAGGCAAGACTTTGAAAGCCGGTGCTCTGCTTATTTTCCTCCTTTAGTTGTTTAAAGGTGGGAAAGAAAGTTACTTGAACAAAGTTGGTTCTCTGTGCTCCTTAAAGTGTTTTCAATGATAGGAGTAACTGAAACTCCTGCTTGTGTAACACCTGGCTTTCTGATAGGGTGCAGGTGGTAGGTGTGTCACCTGAAGCAGGCCCCCCAGGAGACACAGGCTTGACAGGAGAGGCCTGTCTCAGACAGCAGGTTTCAGAAGAAGCTCTTGCTGCTTCTTGTAACCGGTGCTTTGTAAAGGACTTCTTTGGGAGTAATGGATGAAAAATAATTGTCTTGATCTTGGAAGTACTTGTTCATGTTTCCTTCAACTAAATTTTTCTTTTAGAAAACTTAAAATAATCCCAAAGGGTTTTTCAAAACATTTAGCTTTTTAATTTATTTATACTTTCTGTTTAACAAAGTCATAGGTAAAGGCATGGGTAGAAAAAAAATTATATCAGCAATATTCTAGAAACCTGAAGGCACAGACTCACATTGCTTAGTGTCTCTCTCTCTGTAACTGTCTTTTTCAAATATTTTTTTAAAATTATAATAATATTACTTCAGAATCTTAAGGAAGGTTCTTCTTAGTCCCAGTTTGTTCATTCAATAATTCCATGTATTATAATGTTGAGTCACATTGTATTGCTCTTGACTAATTCTAATTAGCACAAGTCTCTGACCCAAGAATTAAAATTGTTGTTTATGTTGTTATGTGTTCTTGGTATTAACAAATGTAATGTGCTTATATTACTATGTTAAAACAGAAATGATGATTATTATTCTCTGTCATTAAGTATTTGTTAGGACAAGAAATAAATGGTCAGAGAGCTCGATAAGTAGTTAAGTGCAGAAGTGAAGCCCGTTTGCAAAATAATATGGCTGTTCCCTTTAAAATAAACTTGAGGAGCTAGCAGGGTGGCATACAGGCTAATCCTCTACCTCTTTGCACTGGCATCTCACAAGAGTGCTGGTTCGTGTCCCAGCTGCTTCACTTCTGGTCCACCTCCGCTTCTGCTGGTAAGGCAGCAGAGACTAGCTCTGGGGTTTGGACCTCTGTAACACTGAGAGACCTGGAGCAGGCATGAGGCTGCTGGCTGCCAGCTTTGGATTACCCTAGTTCTGGCCATTGAGGCCATCCTGGGGAGTGAACGAGTGGATGGAAATCTTTGTTTCTTCTCTCTGTAAATCTGCCTTTCCAATAAAAATTTAAAAAAAATTTTTAAATAAACTTGAAGATCTGATTTGTAAATTCAGAAATATGTAACTTCAAAAACATATTAATTCAGTCTTTCTATAGTGTTGAATGCTACTTTGAAGGATGTGTTATGCGTAATAAAATGTGGAATAGAAATAACACGAATAATAACAAAAAGTGCACCAATTGTCTTATTGCATTCTTCTGTTTCAGTGGAATAAGGCTACTTAAAAATCAAATATCAAGTCACTGATATGAATTTGACTGATTTTTACTCAGTCCAGTCGAGGATCGAAAGGATCCCTGTGGTAGAGATAGAAATACTCATACAGTAGATTTACACTACATGTTAAATGTTTAAGCGTAAAGTTAGTATGATTATCAAACCTTATTTCTTTAATTCCATGTTATTATCCTCTATAAAAATGTGCACCTACTTTTGGTTTTAAAATATTTATTTGAAAACTAGACAGACATAGGTAAAGATTTTCCATCTACTGGTTCATGTCTTAAACTTTCAGCAGTCAGGGCTGGGCTGAAAACTCAGGAGCTGCAAACTCAATGGCGGTCTCCCATCTGAGTGAGTAGGCTGCTGCCTCTCAGGGTAGCCATTAGCAGGAAGATCGGATTGGGAGAGTTTCAGTGAGACAAATGTAGTTACTATGATAGAAGATGCAGGCATCCCTAGCAGCATCTGGACTGCTATTACAAATGTCTACCCAGAGATCATAGTAAGTTGATAGGCTTGAAATTTCAAAGAAGAATCTTCTCAACTTACATCTTACATATCATATATATCTTCATTGTCCCTGTTTCTTTTCTGTGTTCTTTTTCATGGCCTTAATTATTTAGAATTTTAATCAGGAAGTCCAGTGATTTGTCCAGTAATCATTGTAGTGCTTTCCAAAAAGTTAACTTCTGGTTAATCATTTCATCTGGAAAGCTACCACTTAGTCTTGAATAAGATGATCTTTTTTAAACAATATATTCTGCCAGCTTCACTAGCAAACTTCATGTAATTTATTCCAGCTGCTCTTCTAATGGTGTAATGGCCCTCTATCAAAAATCTGTCTTAACAAAAGTGTATCTAATTAGAAATGCAGTGGGTTCATCAGTTGCCAGTATGGTGGTGATGTAAACTTGTTTGGTGTTATCTTTGATAGTAAGTATCAGTGGAATATTTTGCTGATTCTAATAAAAGATGTTTCTCATACTTCATAGTCTACTTTTTTAGTTTACAAAGAAACGGATTTCAAATCAAAAGTCCTATATGGAACATATGAATAAGGATTTTTAAAACAGACATATTAAGCCTTTAGATAAACCTACATGAACTTCTGAGAAGTGTCACTCTCTTCTGTCTTTATTAAGTCATGGTAAAGACTATTCATAGATAAGCTTGTCATTATACATATTTTAATGTTTATAAATGTGATTAAGATTTTCCTACTTTGCCAGAGCCTACCAAATAACTTTAAGCTTATTACTTCTTCCATTTCTTTGAAAACAGGAGTGTTAAGTAAATCACTTCTGTTGGCCTCAGCCCCACATCACACTTATGACCATCTCTGTCTACTTTGTTTTTTTCTAAATGTCCAGAAACATAAGGAAGCTAATTCCGGCTCCCTTGTAGACCAATAACACTGAAAGCAGAAATTACAGAAATGTGCTCAGCAGTGTTTGAAAGCTAGCTATACACCATAAATTGTTTCCCCTAAACGATTTGATCATTTTAACAAGATGGGTTCACCCATAGGATTTCTGGTAGAATTTAATGTAATACGGATGACAGTAAAATGAAGTACTAACAAAGTGATACAATGTATGTGTTTATTAAATATTTTCTAATAATAACGTATAATACATAGGTATATGTTTTCTTGTGTAGAATAGATAAGTCTAAACTTACAAATGCTGTATTCTTTTGCTTATAGGGATCATAGCACAGTCCTAGTCCTGCACCTCCTTAACTGTTTTTATTTATTTTTTTTAGAGTACTGATATTTGCATTTAATGGGGAGCAAAAGATGAAGATGGAAAAACAGTATATTCACTAAGGATTATATCTGCTTGCTGCTGCTGCAGACCCGAGTGTTCAGGAATTCCACTTCTTCCTTAAAAGTTGACCAACTGTGTGACCAGACTGCATTGGAGTTTGCCTGCCTTTTATATTTTGCTAGAAAAAACAACAACAACAAAACAAACAAAAAAAAAAAAACCCTGGTTGGAATGTAACAGTGCAGTTCTATCTAATTGCTATGGAAGGTGATAAACACATGCATCCTTATTGAAGTTAATCTCAATCACGCAGAGAAAACCATTTTTAAAGTGAATCGGAACCAAGCCCTTGTGAACACTTGTATTGAACATGACTCATGGAGAAGAGCTTGGCTCTGATGTGCACCAGGATTCTATTGTTTTAACTTACCTAGAAGGATTACTAATGCATCAAGCAGCAGGGGGATCAGGCACTGCCATCGACAACAAGTCTGCTGGCCACAATGAAGACGATCAGAACTTTAACATTTCTGGCAGTGCATTTCCCACCTGTCAAAGCAATGGTCCAGTTCTCAATACACAGACTTACCAGGGATCTGGCATGCTGCATCTCAAAAAGGCCAGGCTGTTGCAGTCTTCTGAGGACTGGAATGCAGCAAAGCGGAAGCGGTTGTCTGATTCCATCGTAAACTTAAACGTAAAGAAGGAAGCTTTGCTGGCTGGCGTGGTTGACAATGTGCCTAAAGGCAAACAGGATAGCACATTACTGGCTTCTTTGCTTCAGTCATTCAGCTCTAGGCTGCAGACTGTTGCTCTGTCACAACAAATTAGGCAGAGCCTCAAGGAGCAGGGATATGCCCTTAGTCATGATTCTCTAAAAGTAGAAAAGGATTTGAGGTGCTATGGTGTTGCATCAAGTCACCTGAAGACTTTGTTGAAGAAAAGTAAAGCTAAAGATCAAACACCTGATACCAATCTTCCTGACATAACTAAAAACCTCATCAGAGATAGTTTTGTAGAGTCACCTCATCATGTTGGACAGAGTGCAGCAAAGGTCATGAGTGAACCCTTGTCATGTGCTGCAAGATTGCAGGCTGTTGCAAGCATGGTGGAAAAAAGGGCTAGTCCTGCCACCTCACCTAAACCTAGTGTTGCTTGTAGCCAGTTGGCATTACTGCTTTCAAGTGAAGCTCATTTGCAGCAGTATTCTCGGGAACATGCTTTAAAAACACAAAATGCAAATCAAGTGGCAAGTGAAAGACTTGCTGCTATGGCCCGATTGCAAGAAAATGGCCAGAAGGATGTTGGCAGCTTCCAGCTTTCAAAAGGAATGCCAAGCCATCTTAATGGTCAGGCAAGAACATCATCAAGCAAGCTAATGACTAGCAAAAGTAATGCTGCAACATTTCCAAATCCAGTGGGCATTGTTCCTTCTTCTCCCAAAAGTGCAGGCTATAAGAACTCACTAGAAAGAAACAATGTAAAACAAGCTGCTAATAATAGTTTGCTTTTACATCTTCTGAAAAGCCAGACCATACCTAAGCCTATGAATGGACATTGTCTTAATGAGAAAGGAAGCATTTTTGAGAATAGTAGTACCCCTACAACTATTGATGACTATTCAGACAATAATCCTAGTTTTACAGATGATAGTAGTGGTGATGAAAGTTCTTACTCCAACTGTGTTCCCATAGACTTGTCTTGCAAACACCGAATCGAAAAAGAATCTGACCAACCAGTTTCTCTAGATAACTTAACTCAGTCGTTGCTTAACACCTGGGATCCAAAAGTCCCAGATGTAGATATCAAAGAAGATCAAGATACCTCAAAGAATTCAAAGCTAAATTCACACCAGAAAGTAACACTTCTCCAATTGCTACTTGGCCATAAGAATGATGAAAATACAGAAAAAAACACCAGCTCTCAGGGAGTACACAATGATGTGACAAAGTTCAGTACCCAAAATTATGCAAGGACTTCCGTAATCGAAAGCCCCAGCACAAACAGGACTACTCCGTTGAGCACTCCGCCATTACTAGCATCCACCCAAGCAGAGTCTCCCATCAATCTTTCTCAGCACTCTCTGGTCATCAAGTGGAATTCCACACCCTACTCCCGCAATACTCAGTCTGAAAAGCTAGCAAGTACTGCATCTAACCACCTGATGGACCTCACAAAAAGCAAAGAATCTCAAGGAGATAAACCAGCCCAAAACGAAGGTGTGCAAAACTCTGCTACTTTCAGTGCCAGTAAGCTGTTACAAAATCTAGCGCAGTGTGGAATGCAGTCTTCCATGTCACTCGAAGAGCAGCGACCCAGCAAACAGCTGCTAAGTGTAAATCCAGATAAACCTATAGGTATGATTGAGAGATTAAATAGCCCTCTGCTTTCAAATAAAGCAAATGCAGCTGAAGAAAATAAGGCATTCACTAGTCAGTTGACAGCTCCTGAACCAGGACTTTCTGGTTCTGAAATAGAAAATCTGCTTGAAAGACGCACTGTTCTCCAGCTGCTCCTGGGGAATACCAACAAAAGCAAGAGTGAAAAGAAGGAAAAGACTCCTGCAAGAGACGAAAGTACTCAGGAACATACAGATAAAGCTTTAAGCGAACAGATACTGATGGTGAAAATAAAATCTGAGCCATGCGATGACTTACATATTCATAATACAAATGTGCACTTGAACCATGATGCTAAGAATGGCCCGATGTTAGGTGTGGCTCCTGCCGTGCAGAGAGGAGCAGCCGCCTTATCAGAATGCGAGGACTTTAAATCGGAGCTTAGTTCACCTCAGGACTTTTCTTTTTCAAAGAATGGTCTGTTAAGTCGATTGCTGAGACAAAACCAAGAAAGTTACCTGGCAGATGACCCAGACAAGAGTTACAGAAACAGTGAACTGACGCTTCTGGAGTCCAAGAATCTTTGCATGGTCCCTAAGAAAAGGAAGCTCTATGCTGAGCCATCAGAAAATCCCTTTAAAAAGGTGAAAAATAATGTCCTTGATGCTGCAAACAGTCACAGTACTCCAGAATTACTATATGGATCCTTGATGAACCAGGAAGAGCTGAAATTTAACAGAAATGACCTCGAGTTTAAATATCCTGCAGGTCACGCTTCAGCCAGTGAAAATGAACACAGGAGTTGGGCCAGGGAGAGCAAAAGTTTCAATGTGTTGAAACAACTGCTTCTCTCAGAAAACTGTGTGCGAGATTTGTCCCCCCACAGGAGTAACTCTGTTTTTGAGAGTAAAAGGAAAGGACACAAAACTAGTATGATGAATAGCAAACCTGATTTCAGCATTTCTTCATTAAATGGATTGATGTACGGTTCCACTCAACCCAGTAGTTGCATCAATAACAGGACATTTTCATACCCAGGAGTGGTAAAAACTCCTGTGAGTCCATCTTACCCTGAGCACACGAGCTGTGCAGGGTCTAGGCCAGATCCTGGCCTTCTGAGTGGGTGTTCTGTGCCCAGTGAGAAGGGACCCATTAAATGGGTTATCACAGATGTGGATAAGAATGAGTATGAAAAAGACTGTCCAAGACTGACCAAAACTAACCCCATCTTGTATTACATGCTCCAGAAAGGAGGCAGTTCTGTTACCAGCCGAGAGCCACAGGAAAAGGACCTGTGGAGGGAACCTGCCTCTGCTGAAAGTGTCTCACAGGTCACAGTCAAGGAAGAGTTACTGCCTGCTGCAGAAAGTAAAGCTGCTTTCGTCAATTCAAGAAGCCCGTACAATAGCCATATGGGAAATACTGCTTCTCGCCCACACAGTGCAAATGGAGACGTTTATGGACTGCTGGGAAACGTGCTAACAATAAAAAAAGAGTCAGAATGAAATGTACCTTTCAAGCTTTGTATCACTTTAAAACTAATTAGTATGAACTTGAGATCTGTATAAATAAGAGCATGATTTGAGAAAAGCATGGTATAATCGAAACTTTTTTTTTTCTATTTTGAGAAGTATTGGTTACTGGTGATGTTTATGCATACTAATTTTTGCTTAACATTAGATGTTATGAGGAAACTACTGAACTAGCAATTGGTTAACACTTCTGTATGCATCAGATAACAACTGTGAGTAGCCTACGAATGAAATTATTTTGTAATCATAAATAAGAGGCATAAATTAAAATGTAAAACTCCATCCATAGTGGATTACAGCATTTTCTGCCTTTATTAGGATATTTCATTTTGCTCTTCAGAAGTCGGCTTACACATTTTTTAAAAGCCCAAACCCTGAAGTAACCTTTTAGGGAATAATATCAAATTAAACACCTAGTGCTGATTCACTTCTCATGATCAAATTCAAAAATAAAGGAGACAAAACATAGACTTACATTTTTCACTTTTTGCTACAATACATATTTATTTTTAACTCTTGGAAGGGGTTTTGTGATTCCCAATGTGTCTGCCCTTTTCAATACATGTTTCTTTAAACCTTATAGTACTTAGTAAAAATTGATTACATTTGAGGGAAGTTTGATAGATCCTTATTAAAAAGACAGATTTCCATTTTTGTATTTTAACTACTTTATTAAATTAATACACCTCCTTTTACAGAATTAGGGAAGCTAACATTTACCTTCAGGTGGTTTCCTGAATTGTTGGAAACTTAAGAAATTGTTTATAACAAATAAAATGGCTTTTCTTTGGACAACTTTCACCATCTCTTGTAAAAGTTAATCCTCACCATTCCGTGGTCCCTGGGAGTCCCAGGGCCAGGATTTCTGAAAGCTGGACTTAGACACCTGAAAAAAAAAACCCTCTGGAGCACTTGTGCTAAAATGCAGAATTGTAGGCAAATCAAGTCAGATCTGCATGGCAAGGGTCTCTGATTGCTCAGTGGATCTGGGACTCTTCCATCTGCACCTGAACTCGCTCCCTTGGCGTTTCTTCTGCACACTGACGTTTGAGGACCATTACTTATGACTTCTCAGTATATGGACTGTAAAAAGAAAAAAAAAACTATGATGCCTATATTCCCCACTGCAATCTCACGTCAACTCAAAATTTGCAGTACTGTCATTCCTGTATTACTGTTATGTCTTTGGAAATCGGGTTCAAAATACTTTTTATGACAAAAAAAAAATTGGGTAGAGGGGACAACTTTCTTATCTGGCTCAACATCTCAGGAAAATCTGATTATTCATGTATTTTAATGAGTAACATCTACTTAATTAGCCTTAGGGATGGAATAACAGGGCCACTTACCAAACTCAGGTGATTCCAGGATGATTTGGAAACTTCTGACTACATCCTTAACTTCTATTAAGACCATTGTCCTAAGAACAATGCTGACAAAGGTTAAAACATTTAGTTCAAACCCAAGAAAGGCACTAATCTCAGATCTAAGCAAACTTGTACAGAGGTCACATGTATCAGACAGAATTGTATAACAGCCACTCCATTGTGATGAGAATTTTAAAAGCTTAATTCTGAGCCACTTGTGTTTTGATTTTGAGATAAGTCTTTTTAAGTTCAGCTTTTACAGTGCACACTTCATTCACTAGTTTTGGCTTTTAATGGTAAAAACAGGTTAGTAACAAATTATCAACCATTAATTATCAAATTAATTTGAAGTTCTACTTGAAGCTGTTTCTAAGAATTTTGTATTAAAATGGGTGTTATTTCCTAATGATCTAAAATTTGAAAATGATTATTTTTTCTCAGGATGGTTTGTACAAAGTTACTGGATATATTGTATAATAATAGTCAAGACTGAATTTTACTGAAAGCATACGCTTATTCTGACATGAGAATTCCACTGGCCAGTGAATATATTCTACCCCATGTTTATACTGTGATAATCTTATTGTCTACACTGTATAAGTAAGCTTTTAAATCTTTTTTGTTTTTTTTTTCATCATTGTGGAAGGTATAGAACCTTCCAGGTATGTCAGGAAAAAAAAATACAGCTATTCTCCCTAGGTTAGGAGAACCTGGGCTTTTGACAAGTGAATGAAATGTGGGTCAAAGAGAAGAGTATCAAGGCCAGCATTGCTGTTTTTGTTTATTTGGTTGATTTTTTTTTTAGTAACAGGAAAAGGATTGAGAATATCTAATGCATAAATAAATGTGACCACAAAGAATGCGGTTCTGATTTATTAGACAGTGTCCCCAATTTGACTTTTTTTTTTTTTAGGAGAGCAGTGAGAAAGGGCATACATCCACGAATTCACTGTGTTTATGCACATATATTTACAAGGATGCACATATGCTACACATTTTCCAAGACTATTTTAGATATCTAGATAATTTCTTCCTAATTAAGTCATTTGTGAAAGGGTACTACAGCTCTCATTGACATCAGTAAGGTAGCATTACCTGTTTATTCAGTGCTGCATCTTACAGAAGAGTAAACTGGTGAGAGTATATATTTTATATATATATATATAAATTGTATATATATATATTGACTTGTTACATGAAGATGTTAAAATCAGTTTTTAAAGGTGATGTAAATAGTGATTTCCTTAATGAAAAATACATATTTTGTATTGTTCTAATGCAACGAGAAAAGCCTTTTAATCTCCTTGGTTCCTGTATATTCCATGTATAAGTGTAAATAGAATCAGACAGGTTAAAAAATTGTGCATGTATGTATACAGTTGCAAGTCTGGACAAAATGTATAGAATAAACATTTTATTTAAGTTGTGATTATCTGCTGCATGAAAAGTGCATGGGGGACCCTGTGCATCTGTGCATTTGGCAAAATGTCTTAACAAGTCAGATCAGATGTTCATCCCAGTGTGACAGTATTCCATTTCTGGATGTGACTTCTGTGGTTTAAACTTTGTGAAAGGATGTGCTTTGAATCCAATGGTCTTACTTTTTTTTTTTTAATAAATTAATTCAACTACTGTTTAACATAAAGGAGTCACACAGCTACTTTCATGAATGTTTCAATCCCATTGAAAACATACAGGAATATTCCAGTATTAAAAAATACTGGAATACAGGCACATTACCATTCATGGTAAGAATTCTGGGGTTTACATAACCGATTTTGATCCTCTGTGCTCAGTAATATAATTTGTCATTTTTATTAGAAATTTAATTTCTTCATGTGATGTCATGAAACTGTACATACTACAGTGTGGATTTTTTTGTTTTGTTTTTTAATCTTTTAGTGTTTACTTCCTGCAGTGAATTTGAATAAATGAGAAAAAAAATGCATTGTTTTGAAGTGACTTATTTTGTAAGCTTTTCCTTATTATTAAGCTTTCTGTAAACAGACAACCCAGGTCATAAAAATAAAAATAGGCTCCCCCAAAATGTTTTGCTCTCTTTGTGGAAAATGGAAGAAGATAAACAGCTAGTTGGTGCATCTGGAAATGGCAAATAAGACGAAGTAAGTTGGGTTTTAGCCTTTATCCTGTTACTCAGTGTGTAACTAATCATTGCTGATTGTTTTACTGGATTAGTGCAGTGTTTGAAAACAAAGTTGAGTGTATGTGCACACGCACACCCTTTGAAAGCCAACATCCACTGCTTTCCTCATGCCTTAGCTGGGGGCTGCATTGGAAGTATAACTGCTGGCACTCAAACTGGCTGTTCCACATGGGATACTGACAGGGCTGGCAGCAATCTAACCTGCACAATAATTACCATGGTACTTTGGTGTTAATAGTTTAATTTCCATGGTAATCATTTTAACTGTGCAAAAATATTGCTTCTGTAAGGATTAAACCACTGCCAAAACCCCAGCCCTGTACACACTTTTTAAGATAAGTGTTTGTTTGTATTTTTTAAGATTGATTTTTATTGAAAGGAAGTCCTGCAAGTACCTCAACCCCGCACCAACATGAGCAAGCCAGAGGGAGCTTCTGGCTTTGGGCCATTTGAGGAGTGAACCAATGAATGGAAGGTTCTGTCTCTCTACCTGGAAAAAAAAAATTACAATTATATTTACCATTTAGGAGGAAGGTATTTTTTTTGCTAAGAAGAGTTTCATCTCGGGGGACTGAAATAGATCTGTTATAATCCAAGAAACTTCTCTCTTAGCAGATATGAACATTATCTAAAATCACATACCTTTATTAGAAATACATCCTAGGTTTACATTGTGAAAAAGTGGAAAAATGAGACCTTAGTCAACAATGTCATTTAGATGGTACCATCAAAGATATACAACCATGTTTTATTATTTTGTTAAGATGCATGGTAAAAGCATGAATTTTGTAATACGTATTTTGAGAACCAATTCTTGACTACAACGTAGAACCAGTGACTTTAATATGAACAGTGCTGAACATCAGATTATAATCACTGACACTATGTAAGATTATATTTCAAACTCATGGAAATATCAACAAATAAATTTGAAGTTTCTTTTTTTACCATTTGGGTCTCTAAATAGACCCTTGAAAATAGGATTTGTTCATCACTTACCCAACTATGTTTTGTTTCATAAAATTTAAAATATTTAACCTTGAGGGAGTTGGTAAAGTGATTTATCTGTTGGTATGATTTAATACTTCATTTCTTAAAGTAGTTGATACTGTAATAGTTATGACACTTTTTTACCTTACTAGGTAATTAAAAGATTTCTACTAAGTTCCTAGCTACACATTCCAGTCTCAGAGAAGTGCTACTATAATTCTGATACCCTCCCTGAGTAATTAGTATTAAAGATATAAAACTTAGCTAAATTTTAAAATAATCTTGAACCATCCCAGATAACCCGGCAGCCATTTTATGGACACACAGATCCAGACAATGTTCCATTTTTCCCCTATTCGCTTTTACAAGACTTCCTTAGGATGTACTCCAGACTTTGATAACAAAGTCTCCTATCCTTTACACAATCAAGGTCAAGCTATAATAAAATTCATTGACTGAAATTATGTTTTCTTGTCGCTGATTGATTTGATGATCCAATGATAGTAAAGTGTTTTCTTTATATTAAAACAAATAATTTTTTGTCCAAAACAGATCTAATCACATGTGGAAACTTTGGCACCTATTCTTTGCATCAGCAAGCTAAAGTTCTCTAAATTTTTTTAGATTATTTATTTGAAAGTCAAAACTAGAGATAGACACGAGAATCTTCCATCCACTGGTACATTCCCTGTAAGACTGCAGTGATGGGAGAGCCTAAAGAGCCAGGTCTCCAATATGGGTGTCTGCCGCCCAAGGGAGAGAGCCACTTTCTCAGGTACAATAGTAGGGAGTCAGACTGAAAGTGGAGCAGCTGGGGCTTAAACTGGTGCCCTTTATGGGATACCCACTGCCCCGGAGCACCAGTCCTAAGAGGATGTCTGGGAAACTCAGCACTGAATTGGGTATACCAAACACCCTGGCCGTGTCTTCGAGTGTGCCCTGGTCTTTCGCCTCTCTACCTATATCTTTTCTGTTTGTATTTTTATCACAGTGATACCTTTGAATACACTGAATCATTTGGGTAAATCTTGAGAGATAAGTAGGAGAAATCTCTCTTTAGCTTCGTAAAAAAATCCAGTTTTCAAGTAGACAATGAGGAGGTGTACAATCCATATGTATATAGCTTTCATTTTCCTCTTCTAGATAAATCATCTTGAGTTACCTTTAATTTGGATAAATATGAAGAGGCAAAGTCAGTTCTCATTTTGTGTACAATTCCTATTACCGCAACAAAACAAACAAAACAAAACCTTTTTAAAAGTTGCAATGTTAACTAAGTCCTAAACCGTGATTTCCCTCTGCCATTCATGGCCCATCCGTTGAAAGTGAATGTAGAGTGCTGATTGATCTAAATGTGGATAAAGAAGAGGAAAGTGAATAGGAGAGACTGAAAGGGGTGATACCAGTGGAATCAGTGCTGGACCACCACCAATCAGTGAGCTGTCCATTTCCGCTAAGGTCTCCTCCCTTCCCCTAATTGCTGTCCTGGTTCTAAAAAATATTTTCCCTTTTATAACATCACCCATTTCACTTCAGTATATAAGACGCATCTTTAAAGTGACAGGGACTTTTCCATGTGTTCATAAAAATCAGTGTTTACCTGTATGATCATGTGCTCTTATATTTTGTTTATCTTCATAAAGGAAGCCAGTGGCAGTATAGGAAAGAAACTCCTGATCCTTACCATCAACCACACAGATTTTTAACTCCTCAGTGGCATTCCAATGCTGACCTTTAGGGGCAATTTAACCTGGGGTTGGAGTAATTTAGGGCTTAATGGGGCCATGCATTATATGATCAGTTTCAAATGTACTACTGTCTCATTCATTCTGTACTAATAAAATTCTGATAGTCTTTCCAAAATGAGAAACATGAATAGCCTTTTCGATTCTTTTAAAATTACTTCAATTCTGGAAACATTATAACCTTTCTTCCCAAGTCAGGCCCACCTGCCAAAGAACAGAAAACTCAAATTTCTGCTGTGTTCCTCTGTGGAAATGCCTGTGTTGTGGAGACTGTGATGCATTAAGGGCAGAAATTCTGACCCATTTTGCATTGGGTGACGTTGATGGGTATATAACAAGAATACAGCTGTGTCTGCAGATAGCAGATCACCTACCTTGAAAACACTCAGGCACAGCTGTTAAATTTCCAGTGCTGGCTGGTGCAAGCCATTGACACATGGTCGCTGATTTTCACAGCCCATTGTCTTCCTAATGCTGATTGTGCCTACTCTTGATGTTTTAGCCATAACTGTTCATGTTCCTCTTTCACAACTCAATCTCTTTATGTATCTTTTGCAACAGTGGTCACCCCTTGTGTTTTAACAGCCTATTCTTTATTCCCGATTTCTTAGTTATCTAATATTCTGTCTTCCTTTTGCTACCACTGAAATCAACCTACTAGTATCTGATTTCACTTGCCTCAAGTAAGAATTCAATTACATATTCAATTTCTTCTCTCTTTGTTGACAATCAGAGTTTGTCAGTAAACTCTATTGTTCAGGGAAGATTTTCTTAATCTGTAGAGTCCAGCCCATCTCCTTCCCCTTAACTCAGAGCTCTGTCTTGCCTTGCCTCTGCTGTTGCTCTGTGTCCACTTGGGTTGCCTTCCTCATACCTCTCCCCTTCCAAACCATCATATCCGCTGTTGCCAGAAAAATCTATTTAATTTTCCTAAAATTCTAAAATCTGCCTAAAATTCTCCTGTGAACTTATTGCATATGGAATTGCACACTCCACTGTCTTAAGTGGTCTGTGGAGTAGTGAGGTATGCAAGGCTTCCGGTGAAAAACATGGGAAGTGGTGAATCTCCCTTAATTGGAAGGGCTTACAATATTCTAATTGAAATTCAAAACAAACAAAAAAATCCAAATGAAACTGACATGATTCCTGGTGTCCAGGGTTAGGCCGGGCAATTTTTGATTTCTGGTTTGGCCTGCATTTGGACGTTTGCTACACATTCTCCTGGCTTCTAATATCCTGCCTGTCATGAACCATTTCATATTCAAACCTTCACATATAACTCAGTTTCCTGAGTATACTGTTCTCTCTGGCTTCCTTTTGTCATGCAATTTTGTATGATAAAACGCTTTCCCCCCTTTGCCCTCCATTTCCTCTCTCAGCCTTGTGAACTTTTATTGATCTTCACAACAGTGACTACTTACCCTCAAAGGAGACCTTGTTCCATAGTCCACTGCTGCAGGACAGAATACTGGGCAGTCCCTCTGTCATAATACATTGTGCAAACCTCCCTACACTCGTTAGATAGAAGGCATTATCAACATGCTTTGCATTCTTTCTAGAAGCAAAAAGTGCTTACATTCGATATGAACATGTATCTTGATGTTAGCAATTAGTCCATAAACATATGCACAATTAGAGAATGAAGGAAAGGCAATTTCTTCTCAATAATGAAAAAAGAAAGGCTGCCTCATTCATCTTGTTTTGAGAGGGA